GTGGTATTTAAGAATAAAAACTCAACCTATTTCTACATTGAGAGAGGCGGTCACAAGAGAGTTGCAGTCACCAAGATGGCGCCGTGTCGCTCCTTAATCTATCCAGGGCTCTAATCCACAGGGCTAAAGAGAATACAAGGGCTAGTTCACTCCGCTCTTAGAGCTGAAGCTACGATTTCCCTCCTCATGACGTCACTGTGTCCACAGATCTCGGAGATCGCAANTGAACTAATGAAGAAATTGAAGATTTAGAATTTTTAAAAAGTAGTTAATAACACGTGTCAAATGATTAATAATCATAATTCATGAAAATTAAATTCATGAAATATATTGCTGAGATTTACTTAATGCTTGTCACATGATTGCGACATCAGCTGCGATAATACAGGATAAAGTATTTCCTCAAAAATATGTGTCTAAGATAAGTACTTGGGTACAAATCTTTTATAATTTATAATATTTGAAAGAAAGATTTGTTTCGGACTATTAATAGTATTAATTATTTGTTTTTAGAATTGTTTCAGAATTAGTAAATATAAATTAAATTTATTCGTTTGTTAAATGTATTTTCGGAGTTTGAATTTTATCTGGTGGAAAGAATCATAAAGAATTAAAAAAAAACAATTCCAAAAACAAATAATTTGGCCTATTATTAGTTTTTAGAATTTTCAGAATTTTAAATATTTTATTCTTCTTTTACCAGATAAAATTTTAAATCTGAAAACCCATTTAACAGACAAACAAATTTTATTTATATTTACTAATTTTTTCAAAAACAAAATTGCCATGACCACTAAGAAGGGAAACTAGGGAAGTGTGACTCGCCAATTTTGAAATAAACTAGTGGGATGTATGCCTTATGAGGAATAATTTTAGGGGGCAACATTCGTTTCGGCCCATAGAAGGTCCTGTGAGAGATAAAAAATAATTCAATATATANTTTATTTAAAAATTGGCGAGTCACACTTCCCTAGTTTCCCTTGTAAGAGGCTACACTAGTGGCAACTTATATTAGTTTGAAATAAGTTACAGTTTAATAACTGTTGAAATAAATAAGTAACAGTAACAAGAGAAAAATGTTTTGGCTCCTCATTACGGAAAATAATTTATTTTCGAAATTTGTCTCCTTTCGAATTCCTTATGCTTCTTTCCTCAAAATTAAATTTTTACTCGGAAGAAACGAATTTAATTCAGGTGAAATTTCGCAAGCTGTCACAGCAGAAAATCAAATTCACCTCATAGCAGTGCTAAAGGCAAAGTTATAATTTCTCGACTCATATTTTTAGATTCATCATTCTTTTGTGTCATAAAATTAATAGTCTAACGTCAAGAATTAATGGAATTTATTGAATGTTTTACGGCATAATAAAGATAAAGTATGCTCCGAGAGGATTTACATCTTATGATTCAAATTTTTCAATTGTAATACTAGAAAGAATTCAAAATAAAAAATTGCGTTAGGAATAGAAAAAAATAACAATTTTAATTCATGATTCTTTCAGCCTTTATAAGTTCAATATATTTAGTAAATTTACGTTTATGTTAAAAAGAATTTCTTTTTTCATGATATCAATTTTATCAATTTCCATAAATATGCATCTTTTCAGAAAACAAGGCGAGACATGGGGATGAACAGTTTTACTTCTTTTTTTACTATATATTATCCAGATCGCATGATTTTTGTTGCTGCAATTTTTGCATACATTTATATACTTGCTTACTTCTGGTGGACCGGGATAGCCTGGTTGGCAGAGCGCTGTTCTCACTTTCGTGAGAGTTTTAATAAAGCCGGCCGGTGTAATAAATGAGGCACGTTAAATCTGCAGGGTCATAAAATCATCCATGTTTTCTTAACAAATTATAATTCAGGGGTTATTGAATGGGAAATGGATCTCTCTCTGGTTCAGGTCAATATTATGATCTGTGTATCACTAAATGGATGTATGAATGGGTCCGCCCTAGAAATGGGTGAGAAGTATGGGTGTGGCAAAAGTCGAATTCTCAGTCCTAAATGGCACCACAGGAAAACAAGAACTGTTGTCTTAATAGCCTAAGACAACAACAACAAATTGTTTATCACTGATATGTTTCTTTCGCTGCTTTAACATTAAAGCATTTAAGGTAATTTAAGGTTTATACTTTTCTTAATGCCATAACACACTGTACCTTAAAGTCACACTTCGGGCCTTACTCTTAAAAAAGAACCTCAGTAGGTTTACCTATCTTAGATAATTATATATTGCATGACCTTTCTTTTTAATTTATTTAATTTTTCCAATTAACAGATTTCTGAATGCCGTTTGTGCATTCCTTGCAATGCCGTTTGCGTGCAATGCCGTCCCGTGCGATTCGCATTTGTGCAATGCTGTTTGAGCATTGAACGTTAAGTTCAATAGCCACTTCCGACTCTTGCGGTCCCTCAGTGGACTGATCGTTAAGACACGGTTCCCAGCAGATCACCGAAGTCAAGCATCACTGGCTGCGGTCAGTGTGCGGGTGGGTGATCAGTCTGCGTAGGGACCGAGGGTGTGCGGTATGGGTCCTCGTTAAACTGTTCTACCGTAAAGTACTCGACTTCGCGTGCAGGTCGTTGGGCTACTGAAGCAGGGGTGCCATCCCTTCTGCAGAGGATCAAAATTGTGATGGCATGTCTTCGGATCATCCTCAGGGATGTTTCCTAGACCGTCGCCAATAGCCCATTGTGCAGCTCTAGGGCGACGTAAAGTAACTGCAACAACACCGACTCTTGTGTTATTTTAAACTTAAACTCTGTCATTGTAGAGTACTAATCTCCAAAGCGAACTCTTTCATAGATGTTAGTGCCCCTGGGAATATTGGCAATAACTAAAAATAGGCCAATGTGAGAGCAGACTATAAATTTATACTTAATTTCGTTATGTTATCGAAAAACTTTATGTTCTTTAGTTATTGATTTTAAAAAAAATTATGGATTTAAATATCGATTTTTTAGGAGCTATTTGACTAATTTCGTTAAAGGTTTGGATATTTTAATAAAATATTACATTGTTTAAAAAGATGTAAACATTTGCATGCCTTTTTATTAATTCAAAATTTACCAACAATTATTAAATAAAATAATAAATAATTGTTAGAATTGTTTTTTCCCCATGAAATTATCTTTGGTTTAATTTTAATTTAATAATTGTGCGCAAAAATTTGTACTAGATTTGCTTAAAAATTTCTCGAGATATGGCAAAATACGTAAAAAGTAAAATTAACATCAAGGAGTTCAAACTTTCGACCGCTCTCCTAATCTAACAACTGGATCATTTTCCCCAAATAGCGGCTATCCCTTCAACCATATTTTAAGTGTCAAGAACCTGAACAATCGAAAAAAAAGTATGCTACTTCAGAGAAAGAATGCTTTTGTGTTTGGTTTCGTAAATTAAAATATCGCCGGCTCTAATTAAAAAGGTATGATAATTGAGCGAAAGAATGTTTTTGTGTTTGGTTTCGCAAATTAAAATATCACCTACTTTAAATAAAAAGGTATGATCATTCAGAGAAAGAATGCTTTTGTGTTTGGTTTCTTAAATTAAAATATCGTCTGCTCTAATTAAAAAAAGTATAATAATTCAAAGAAAGAATGCTTTTGTGTTTGGCTTCGAAAATTAGAATATAGCCTGCTCTAATTAATCAGCATAATTAAGATTATCTTTTAAACCGTTAAAGCCGAGTCCTAGTACGTAAACAGCTAATCACTAGATTAAAAGTTATTTAGGATCTTCGTTTTTCGCACTGTTCATTCTTTGTCTTGTCTTCTATTAGATACACTTTCATGCGACTGTAATCGCTAAAAGTTATTGAAACTTAATTCTTATTTATTTATTTATAATCTCTTTGACTATTTAATCTTAACTAAATCTAGAACTTACATTTCAAATGATTTATAATTAAAACTTTTCCATTGGTAAACTAAATTCTTTATTAGTTGGTTCACAAAACAATCGAATTTGATATAAAGTTGATCTTTAGGATTGTACTTGTGTATGTCCCTCTTTTTTTTCCTTTTTTTTCATTTTCATCCCGATTTAAATACTAATATCGCTTTTAATTATTCGACTTACATAAAGGACGAATCGGTAAGTGCCGCCTTCGGTGGCAGACGCCGAGAACCTTCATGAATCGTGAATGGAAAGCTACAAATATGCTTGAAAAGGAAAGTTACTAAATTTAATAGTTTTCAATGAGATTTTGAAATATATTAGTCTCCACTTCTTGCTTTTATAGTCGCCTGTGGCAACCCTGCAAATTTACATCATTTAAAGATAAAAATATCGAAGAGCACTTATGAAATTCTAATCAAAAGAAATTACCAAACGATTAAAAAGAATTTTCCAAGCTCTCAATTAAAATTAAAAGAAAAGCAAGAAAAAAAATGATAACCTCATTTTAAGTGCAGGCAGTTAAGCATAGTACAAAAGAAAGGCATCCGTGACCGGGTAACTGTTGCTATTTTGTTGCACTTAAGAGGGGGGAAAAATTCGTTGTCTTTTTATGAGCTTCAACGCTGGAATGGAAACTCTTTCTTGCATTTGAATAAATAACATAGCTTCTGAAAGTATCGATTAAGGTATTTCAAAATAAACAATTATTAAACATAAAATTTTTATGCGAAGAAGTAGAGAGTTAAAATGTTGCTTTAATAAGAATGAATACAGATGAATAACTACTGTTTTTGATTCTCTGTCTATAAAAGGAATGACATTATTCCTTTAGAATCATTTTTATTTCCAGGAATACTGAATGATTACGAATTATAAGTTTACGAAGCCAGTAAAGGATATTTCAAGGTTGAGATTTCAATACCAATATAAACTCAATAAATATATGTAAAACAAAATAAACATAGAAGCATTTTACTTTTTGTATAAATTACCAAATTACTTGTATTTCGGATAGTCATCAAATGCATATGAATAAACATTGGATTTATCCAGAATAATAAATGATCAGAATTTAACAGTCATTTATATTAACTGCTGTTTTTGTTCTTATATTTGGATCAATGAATAATAAGGATATGAATTAATGTTTGTTTTGAGAGCGGACAGAATGGTATAAAATGGGAAGTCGAGAAGATGTTCTTCACCACTTTGATTAGAGTTGCCTGAACCATAGAGATCGACTTCCAGAGGTAAGCGTTACATGAATTAATATTTTCTTTTTAATTTTTTGTATTCTTTTAATTATTTTTTGCTTATCTGAAAAATATGGAAGACACCAAGCACTGAAGTTTTTAAAACCTTACCTTTAGTCCTCGAAATTTTGACTATCTTTTGTGATTCAAAATGCACGTTTTAAGATAGTGGGAATAATTTAAAATGGTGGATATAGCTCACAAAGCAAGTTTAAGACAATAAACATAGCCGGAAACACAGGCTAAATAACATGGATACACACTGTATAGTTTGAAAATAATGAACGTAAGTGAAACTGTACCAGCATAAAACGCATCTTCTTTATTTTCAATATAAAAAAACTGAAATAATGTGCATACCAAATTATTGCTAATTTATATTTTCAAATACACATTTAATAAAAAAATACACTTCCAATTACTTTGGGGAACAATTTTCTTGCTGCATTTATACAAATACTTGATCTTAATGTATACGAGTGTGGTGATTTCGGAAATTAGTTTTGCTCCCAAAGCTGTAGATTTTTTTTCTTCAAAATAGCATTTTTAGTTTATTTTTTTTGACCGAATGTTCATAAAGAATTTGTATAGGTTTATATACGTACATATACATATGATAGCTCCTTTGAAAATTACTCTTAAGGCAAAAAACAAATGATCTTAACGCAGAGATGCCGACTTGCTCAACACAGTGAATAAATATTTTCGAATTGAAGTTTCTTAACATATGATTTTTGGTTTAGTAATTTTGATTTACACGGTTTTTACTCTTCACTATAATTATGTGATGCGGAGTTACAGTTAAGCAGCGTTGATTGCTTATGAAATCGCATGCAGATTTTTTTACGTGTAATTTGGAAACATTTGCACTCGCGTAATGTATAGTTAGGATTAAGTGAGAATAGCTCTAAACATTCATATAAACCATCACCTCCTACATCAGAAAGGCTCCACGCGGTTTCTTATAGGTAGTCTGCGCAGATTATTTAAAAAACGAACTACTTGTGCGCATGAACCCAAGTTCTATTTTAAAAGGACTTGAGATAATTTTATCACATATATTTGAGAATTGAATCTATAGTGGTTGACAAGTAAATAAAACAAACTAGTTATATTCAAAAATTAAACAAATTTTTAGACATATATTTGCTACCACTTTCTAATTTTTAATAGATTTCTTATTAAATGGTTCCTTCACTAATTGGTTTACCTTCATAGTAGTCTGATCAGACTACCTACAAGAAACAGCGTGGAGACTTAAAGTTACAGGAGGCGTTGTGTAAGCCCCCGTATTTCGAGCTATGTCTATTGTTTTCAAATACGCATATCAAGATGCTCGTTAAGTATATTCCGCCACAGTTATAAACTAATGAGCAGGAATGTCAACTGCTCAGCCTTCTGCAAAAGTTTTTAAAAATTGTAGAGTATTACAAACTAAAACTAGCAGTAACAATGGAGCGTTTTGAGTTATTCATGAATAGCAATGGCTAAATACCCTAAAAATCAAATTAACTAGACCAAGAATTATGCTCAGAATCGCAAACTTTGCTACTTCTAGCTGTCATTTCTAGTTATAAGTATTTTGAGACCTTTCTTCGTGATTAACCGTTGCAATAATCGGATTTTTTAACCTTTATTTCTCATTTCTTGAACCAGCAATAAATTTCGCGCATGTGCTGCGACGTTTAAATAGCCTTACCATGCAACCGTAACGCTAATTTGAATTTAGACAGCAGGGAAACAGGCCTATCTTAAAAAAATAAATAAATGAAGCCTTGGTCATTCGGAGCAGTGTTTTTATATTACATTTTTAAAAGGAAACTTTTAGAACAATCACTAGTCGCTACTATTTACAAACGAATGATTAACTGATATTTTTTTCTTAACAGACAGAAGAGAAAATGAAGGTTTACATTGTTCTACTTGTCCTCAGCGTCATTGCTGTTGCTTTAGCTGATCATCCAGCATGCAATAAACAGCGAAAAGAGGCACAGCAGTCAAGTAAGTGTTTGCAATTTTTCTTGAGATAAATAAAAAAAAATTCTTCTTCTGTTGCAAGAGATTTTCGAGTCGCTGATTTCGAATCCACGATCGATTTCTCACTAACAGTTTTTATGCAATTCAATAATATATTCATAGCCAGGATGTTTTTAAAATTCACTCGAGTGACATCTAAATGTCGCCACTTCTCTGCTACATAAGGAGTGGTAGGAAGAAGGCAATAATACATTTAATTTACGATGCGATACGTTAAAGTCATATGTTTTTTTTGTCCAAAGTGTTATTTTCAACGGGAGAAACAAGTGTATAGGTATGCATATAAACCCCTACGCTCTTTATAAACTTGCACATTGAGACAAAAATAAACGAGTCTTAAAATAAAAATTTTCTTTTAAAAAAATTTTAAACTTTCGCAACAAAACTTGTTCTAGATATAAAATTTTCGCTCCTGAGTTAGGTAAAATCAGGTGATTGTATAAACGCAACAAAAATTTTCCACTAAGTAATTATTGAAACTAACACTTGTGGAAATTTATGCATATTTCATTATATTAATCTCTTAAAATTCTCGTAACGAATTATTTAAATGTGCAATTTATTTTTCTAAAGACTAAGAGAGCTTAATACGCGTCTGATTAACTATCTAAAAACACACTTCCACACTTGCGTCTGATGGAGTTAGCTTCCAATTTTTCGAGATATCTTTCAAGTTTAGTATATTTTAACTCAGATTGGCCCATTCATTAAAAAAAAACTTTTTTTAAAGTATGTAATAGAAAACTTTTACAATAATTTGCATTAATTCGGATCACTAGACATAATTATAAATTTATCCTAATAATTTTAATCTTAGTTAGGGTTTAAAATAAATTGGGTACTTGCACTTCAAGAAGAAGATGATCAGAATACCCACACGTGTGATATACGACGTCATCTCCAGTTGATCATTTATAAGAAAAATAGCATGTTAAAGTTGAGCTAAGTTTCTCCACATAAGTCAGAATGTTAATTAATGTAAAGTTGATTAAATACGGCTCCGTATCGCACATTGAATTTCCTGAAATATAATTCTTTCTCGTCGTCGTCCTTAACTTAGATTTATTATTTTTTAATGTATTTTATTGTAACCGTGATATATTTTGTTACCTGGCAACTTCGATGTTAATCAGTTTTTTATGTTCTACACTTCATGCCCGTCTTTGTTTCAAGTAAGAAATATATAGTGAAATAATTGAAATTATTATGAAAGAATCTTTGTGTGGGAATATAGAATGAGCCACTAAACAGAATTGATACTTGACGGACTTGGCTAACTCGAAATAGAATGGAAAGAACAGTTGCTAACGTAAGCAAATGCCACATTTCAACAACCCATCAGGATAGTTATACCCACTCTACGTCACTTACAGGTATCCCATTGTCGTTAGAACATTTAATTTCAGCTTTGTGTAATGCTACTACATTTTGAGTATTTCCCATAACTGAAAGAACGCATGGTTTTTAACAGATTCTATTCATGTTTATACCAAAAATATCCTAATGAGACATTTATATATTTGTAGAGGATCCCAATGCCTATGTTCCTAATTGCTATCCCAATGGTGATTATAAAGCAGAGCAGTGCAGGAAAAGCGAGGGCGGAACATTGTTCTGTTTCTGTGTGAACAAAGCAGGAGAACCTCAAGGTCCACCCAAGCAAGGACACCGAAGCGACTGCCATTAGATGTCTTGCTTAACTAGAAAGAAATCATCGAAATAAACATTGATTTTTTAAAACAAATCTTTGTCTTTCTTGAATTATATTGGTGAACAATTTATTTTTTTTGTTTTTCGCTTATTTTAGATACTATCACATCCCTGATTTCTAATCTGCAATCGGATTCTCTCTACAAGCTACTGTTTTTATACAATTCGATAACATAATCGTAATCAGGTTTTTTCAAAATTCTCTCGAGTGACTACTAAATGTCATTACTTCTCAGCCACATAGGAAGAAGTGGTATTTAATTTATGACGATGTTCATATATTTTTCGTCATTAAGTGCTTTCAAAGGATGTATATATANTCATATGTTCTTTTTATACTTGAAAAGAGCGATATCACCCTGAATATCTTTCGTTCTAATAATCAGATTTTCATGCACTAAATGTTATTTTACTGGTTTCTTTAGGGAGTTCTAATATACTAATTAATTAGTGTTAACTATTATTTAAACTACGAAATCTGACACAAAAACTCACTTTCTCTGAATATACATATATTTTTTGAACATATTTCTGACCCTCAAATTACAGGGTAGACAAAAATTTTGTAAAATCTGGATCGAAAAGTGGGGTGCTAGGAAGTTATATATATATTTGGCGTCGTCCCAAAAAGATGCTAAGAACTGCCACCATAGAAGGAGGGAGAAAGTTAATACTCTAACTGCGAAATCGACAACAGAGAAATACTTCTTTGTTAGCAGGGCAATTCCATGAAAAAGGGGAAAAGCATTGGGAAATTCAAATAAGAATAACGTTATTATTTTGGATGTTTTTTGAATTAGAAGGGATTGAAGTTTGATAATTTATAATAATTTCTTTTGAGAATTTAGTTTTTTAGTGTTGGTAACCCATTGAGCATAGGCATTTGCTTGTTCTGATTTGGGTGAAGAACATGGTCAGATTTTGAAAATCAGTAAATTAACATTATTTTCATTTCAAAATGTTCCAAAGAATAAATATTGCTTTTTACCCTTAATAGAAATATTGTGCGGTGTTAAAATAAGTTTTTGTTGTTAAATTCACTTAATTATATAAATTTCAACTAAACATTAATGCATGTAACGTAAGTTACCAAAAACTAGGAAACGTTTTTATTTGTAAAAAAGAACAAGTGATACAAAAGTAAGAATAATACTTTTTCTTTCTTAGAGGCTAACACTGAATAAGCAGCAATAGTTTTCTTTTCAAATATTACTTATTTATTGTTTTGTGCACTATTCAATATGTGTAACGTAAGTTACTGACATGCATGCAATGTAAGTTACCAATGTGAAATGATTCTATTTCTCTTGAAAATTGGCATATAAACTAAATAAGATGTATCCAGTTACAATACCAAAGTTTAAATAAATTATCACTGCCTTAAGATATTAATTTTAATGAAAATCTTTGCATTAAGTTATTAATTTGGGTGTTGGCATTCATATGTTTTCAAAATTGGACGAAATCTCTCGACAAGCACCAGGAGTTAAGGATGTAGTTATAATTAGAGATGTTAATGGTAGCAAAAAAGAAAGTACAAGCACGGCATCTTCTTCATTCAGTTCGAGAAATGCACCAAATGTTTATGGAAGAAAATCTAGAATACAAAATTGGAAAAACTAAATTCTTTGAGCTCCGTCCAAAGCATGTCTTGCTTAGTAGCAAACTTCCAAGAAATGTTTATCTTTGTAAGTATCATGAAAAGTTGATTGACTAAGGAAGCCTTCAGCAAAATTCGTAATGTTCCGTCTTTCGAAATGTATTTCATGTTTAGAAAAAAAACAGATGAGTGCGAGTATCTAGAGCAGATGAGTGGAGTGTCTAGTCTGTTCTCAAAAGCTCCACAGATTAAAAACATTAAGATAATCTACCATTTAAAAGTACAAGAAGGCATACCAGAAGGGTTTTTTTAGTGAAAGATTTTGAAAAAGAAAATGATGAATCCAAGATAAAAGCTGGGGGGTGATATATGATTAGATGCGAGGACATGTTACATCCCGGTGTGGTAATGTCTGTTGAAGAGCAAGAATTTAAAGTCAATGTAATGGCTGCTGAAGGAATCTATTGTAAATGGCCAGAAAAAAAGAGATGAAATATTCTACCAGAAGGAAAACATGGTGAAAAGAATTGAGTCCCCTGCGCTAGTTAATAACAGGAAACTTTATAAGTTTACAGTTATGTGTGAATCAAATGTTTCTGAATTTACTTCATGTGCACTTTTTCTCCCTTGCATTATACTGTTTAAATATCTTGATTTGCATTTGTACATTATTGAAATAAAAGTTTGATACAAAGTGAATTTCGTAACGTAAGTTACTGTAACGTAAGTTACCCATATAGAAAATTATATTTAATTTATACCACACTAATTTTAGGTTTTTACGCTGTTTAAATTGAAAAATATTAATTATTTTAATTAGATTCCTTTTGGTTCTGATTGTAATTTTTAGAAATCACTTTATTTTAATGTGTGTATTAGTATTATTCGTTTGCTTTTAAGTTCTCAGTGCAATAAAGTTTATGTGAATGTAACGTAAGTTACCGTGGAATAGCCCTGCAACTAATCAGAGAGAATAAGAAAACCGAATTCATTCATCTTTTTTGAGTTAACTCGGTTCGGAAAGGTGTTTTTTTCCCTAACAGTTAATAGAAAATAATGTTTCTAGGAAACAGATTTGTTTTTAGTTGATTTCTGCCCAAAAAAGCAAAGATTGTTTTCGTTTTCATCTCCTTTAAAAATAAATAAAATTTGAATCTATTTATAAATAATTTATAATTTTCAAAGATTTTAGCATTTGAACACATGAACCTTTTATAAGTCTTAATTGTATTTTTCAAGTTGTTTTTAACTTCTTTAAGTATGAACATTTTATACTGAAACCGAAATTGCTTTATTTTAATTATACACAGAGTTGTAGGGCAAATCACGAAAAAGTTCCAGTAAAATAATATTAAATATCTGGAAGAAATTATAATGCACACATTCACAAGGTTTTATATAATTCAATATATTTCTGGGTTTTTGTAATAGGAGAGATCAGTGAATGTTATGGGTCATTTTAAAAATTTTGAATGTTAAAGAATATCGAAAGATTCATTTCTTAAGAAATCATTACCAAGTATGTGACATACGTTTCCTCGTCTAGCTGAGTCTGTTTCGAACTTTTTAACCTTCGCAGTTAGGCTTTGAATGGTGGAAGTCAAACTGGCGCATACTGCCATTACTGTCTTTAAATACCTCTGGCACAAAAGGATTATTGTTAGCACGTGCAGCTAACTACGCAGTTTCTTCGAGGATGATAAACTTTTTGAGCTCTTAAAAGTCTTGCGGGTTTCTTGCCAAAACACCACGTAAAATGTTGGCGGTGCATGTTAAGCTTAAGAATGCTGAACAACATGTTCTTTCCTTGGATCTCTTTTTTCGCGTGGTCACATTGACCAAAATATAGAAGTTTACTTTTCTGTACAGCTCATGGCAAAATATATTTCGACTAGCATGTCTACTGACTGTTTAAAACTCATAAATTCAAAAATAGATGTGGAAGGAAAAAATTTCTTTCCGTATTAATTTAGCAACTTATCTTTCAAACTATTGGAGTCATTAATTTCTTTCCATACTCATTCATACACATTCTTTAACGTGAAGTCCGCAATGGAATGATTTTAAGACACGGTTCCCAGTAGAACACCGAAGTCAAGTATCACTAGTTGAGGTCAGTAAGGGAATGGGTGACCACTTGGATCAGTCTGCGTAGGGATCGAGGGTGCGTGGTTTCGTTCCTCATTAAACTGTACCGTAAACTGCTCGACTTCGAGTAGGTCGTCGGGCTATCGAAGCAGATGTGCCATCACCTCTGCAGAGGATTAAAATTGCGATGGCATCCTCAAGATGCCTCAAAATTGCGATGGTCTTTGGGTCATCCTCAAGGATGTTTCCCAGACCGTCGCCAATAGTCCATTGAACAGCTCTGTAAATTATCCGCGATGTAAATTAAGTATCTATCTATCTTTACTTTCTTTTGTTCACCCCTTTCGAAGACCGGGTATTCATTTAGTTATCAATAAAATATATAGCAGGAAAGTAGTTTGTTCTGTTTCCAAAAAATTCTCATATTTTTTTTCTACCCTAGTCTGTCGAAACAGCTACAAACGTCGTTTAAACACGTTTTGGTTTTGGCTCAATCAATATTTAAATTCCCCGAAGCAAAAAAGTTTGTTATAAATATTTTTCACAGAGAAGGGCATTTCAACTTTTTTAGAACTGATACGTGAAAACAATTTTGTGTAAAAAAAAAAGTATAGACAATAAAACCAATAGTCTTACATATCGGCAAAAAATATTGACATGCATACGTTGTAATGGGTGCTATGAGATATTAGCATTTAGGTAATTACTTTTCGTTACATAATCAATTTGAAATCAACAAAAATCAGTTGATGTTGTTCATACTGATTTCGAGATGTTGCAGCCATTTACGAAACACATTTCTTAAGTTTGCTTAGGTGAAACTGCTTTCAACTGAAATACAATTTTTAGCTGCACAGGATTCATAATCTTTGACAATACATCTATAAGTCTAGAAAAGAGAATAAAAATGTGGAACCAATAGAATGGTGAGACTCGCAACATATTCTATATAAACTATATTCAAAATAACTGCTCCCCTCCTCTAACCTGGGAGTGAGAAAATTCAATAATAGTTGTAAAACATTTTGACATTCAAGTTTGACCTAAAGGTCTCTTCAATTTGATCTGATCAATTAAGCCATTTCCTAGGGGGTCCTGATTTCTGAGAAACACTGTGACAACCCCTTTCCTCTTTGAAAAGGCGTTAATTACCTTTGACATTGGCCAAAACGAACAAGTGAGGAAAGATTTGAATAGTAAGGAAAAGGAAGGAAGAACTACAAAATACTGTATTGCTTCGATTTTTATCGATTATAACTAAATTTGATTAAAGAGAATAAAATATGTTAACTTTAAAATTAATTTCTTTAAAAAAAATGCATTAAAGTATTCGATTTGTTTCGCAA